GATGATGAAAACAAAAACTTTTTTTGTCTCTGGGGGGAACTTCCTCCAGCACTGTTGCAGAAATTCCCACAAATGTGTTGCACATGTAGGTTGATTTGTTTTTCACCCTCTGTCCAGTTCAACCAGGACTGAGCTGCTCCTGCATCGCGCTTCCACACATTACTGTATATTGTCTTAATAATGCATCAGTGACACGGGCTAGTTTAGCCAATAGCCACACAGACGGACTGGACAGAGATTCACAGTAAGCTAACTCTTAATGGTACAACACTGATACTGACTGGAGAGAAGAGAACAAGTTTACCTGATTGTCATTAAACGGTGTGTGTCACTTGATGGATTTGCTGTGTGTCTCTAAGTTAGAAATTGAACTGCCACAGCCCAGTGAAACAACCTCTCACACGCACACAGTGTTTGATGCTCTGTGAGTATGAACGTCTCAGTGTGCGATGAGGAACAGTGTGAGCAGAGGGGTCAGGAAAAACAGAACCCGTTGTTCCCCTCTCACTGTAACGGTCCTGGCATGGCCTTTAATTAACTGGCACTGCGCCTGCCATACCAGGCATTTATTGGGCAGGGGGCCCCTCTGGCATCAATACACATCATCATCATCATGAGGGGCTCAGCTTGGAGGTATCCAGTCTTACGGGTAAGTGTGTTACACTGCACCGTGTCCTGCTCTGGATGCATTTTGGAAGTAGCTGAGCTCTGCTTCTAATCAGAGGAAGCGTCTGGCAAGGAGTTTGCTGTGGCTGTTGCCAGCATCAACAATCATACACAGTCATACACAGTGCCTTAATTGCTGGGGGCTCAATGGCAGCTCGTGTTAATACCTGATAGATAAATTACAGTTGATGGTCAACAGTTCCTGCTTTGTGTGATGATGTATTTCTGTGACCTGAAGGCCTGTTGTACTAGTTACAGGAAAATCCCTTGTGGATGTTTAAAGCTTGACTTCTGGTTTACAATATAAATCCAGAGCGGCCTCCTCTCAGTGTAGAGGGCAATCTCTGAGGCGACCTTGGCAGAGGAGAAATACTTTATCTCTTTTCACAGTTTGCTCTCTCTTACAAAACTCTTAGCCTCAGCTGGAGGCGGCTGTAATACAGTGTAAAGATTGTGTAACGTTGTCTCATATACTCACACTGACGCACTCGTCTATGCCTTTATACCATCCTACCAAAGCCACAGATGTGACTGAAAGCATGTTTATGCCTATTCATCTTGTGTTGTGGTTGCAGTTCGACTGGGAGACTGAATGGAAATCCCCTAGCACCGTTCCCGCCAAACTACAAGATGTGGGCTTCCACCATGAGAAGGCACAGCACAAAAACCAGGCGGGGTCTCTTGTGTCTGTAAAGCAATCAGGCCAAGACTGCACAAGCACTGCCAGACAACCGTACATAAAACAGAACTAAGCAAACACTGCTGGCACTTTTGTGTTTTTGAGTACAACAAGCTTTTGTTTGTGCGTCTGCTGTTTTTGTGTTCCAGATCTGACTGCATCGAGTTGTGATTAATGAGGGTATAAAACTAAAGTAAGTACAGTGCACAAAAAAAAGACTATGTGCATAAACAGAAGGCTAGACTGCTGCAGTGCAGCACGCTGACATACGAGTGCACATGTGCAGGCACTGACAAGACCTGCCCAGCACAGCTCTGGGAAAAGTCTGTGTGTTGCTGTAATTTTCTTGGGACTGTGTGAATAGGTTTTTTTTTTTTTTTTTTTTTTTTAACACATTCACGTTGTGTGTGAGAGTGGGTTCGCATCATGCGCGTCCACACAGAACGTGCATGAAGTGGAGGGCGCTTCACCCTCTGTGTAACCTGATGACCAGGTAAGTGAGTGGTGGTATCGCAGAACAGGACGGACAGAGATTTTCACAGCACACAAAGAGAGTAGGAAGTCGTTCTGTTCAAACATCTCTCCACTGAACAAACACACATGCCTGGGAGGCAAGGAGCAGGATACTCAACCAGTTCCCAGAACCTTACCCCAGCTCATCTTGGATGTCACATGATTAAACTGCTCTCTACACTGATATGTCTGATGTTCTTATAAATACCTTACTGGTAAATGATGATAAACATCTCCACTTGGCAATAATCTACATTATCTTATTGACAAACATGTTTTTAGACTTCTAAGTTTTTAGGGAAAATTGCTTCCCTCCAGGCACCTGTAGGTTCCTTTCATCTCAGCACAAAATGTTAATTAACTGCTCTGTGGACTGTTCATGATACATCATTTATCATGTGTGGCAAAGGTGCCTTGCCTATAGTTACGTGCCATCTGACGGGCGACATTTTTGTAAGTGACAAGTAATAATTATATTCAATATAGATTAAACTGTTAATTATTTATGTGATGAATGAATGCATCTTATTCCTTTGCATTATTTGCTTCATCCAACTGACACTCCCATCCACAGACATTTCATTTGCAGTGATATGGGATGTTTCTGACGCTTCATGTTGGCACTCAGCCCTGCAGCACTTTCAGTTATTTCACAAGAGTAAACGCTGCAAATTTCATGAGGACGATAATGTACATTAAGTCAGTTGAGTCTGAAGCGCATTACTGTAATGTCACACAAGGGTAAAATAAATCCACAGCTGAGAGATCTCGATCTTGTGTCGATTAAACAACAGCCTTATTCACTGAAATGCTTCTGCTCTTTTTCCGTCAGGTTAATGTTTTATTCCACTCAGGACTTGTGATGTCATTGTTCCTGGTTAATTCACCTAAATTCTCCAGTACTGGCAAACAGTGGATGTTATGGTGCTTTGTCATTAGTCCATTTACAGTTCATGTACATTAACTTGGAGGGAATGAGTCCACTTTCCAGAGCGCTCTTCATCTAGTGGACTTTCAGCTACACAACGGCACAGCTACATACAAACTCACTCAGAAAAGATGGGCTGAAGCTGCAGCGCAGATCCTGTGTGTTCTTACCATGACTGTTTCCATGTGGATGCGTGTGTCGTCCTGACCTCTGCCCTGCAGGGTGCCCGTCCATGGCCATGTCAAATGCAGGACCTGGACCCAGATTTTGTCCATTAGCCCCAAGATTCTTCCTTTTCCTGCCCTTGAGCCAGCCCAGAGCCCGGCCGAAGGAGTGCCTGCGCTTCTTGCGGCCCCTTTTGCTGTGCTTATCCTGGGCAAAGACATGGACCACATCCTGGGGGAGCAGGTCCCCATACCCCAGCGAGTCGCGGTTTGACATACCACCTCACACTGGAGCTACGTCCTGATCAAGAAGCAGAGAGAGAGAGGGGAAGAAACGAGGTTAAGGCAGAAATTAAATCTTAGTCATCATCGTCCAAGCACCACATGTGCTGGCACTTGCAGGAGAGTAAGAGTTCAAGGAGCAGTCCAAAGTCATTGATTATCAGCCTTTTCTTGCTCCCACTAGATGTTATTAGTACTGGCAGACTATTGAAATCAACTTACAGAGAGCGTATACTTGCTTTAGTTCCATCATCACAGAAAACAAAGACAGAAAAAAAGTATGAAATTTGCCTCCTTTATTTTCATTGCATGCCAAAGTTACCCTGTCATTGTGTAACTCTAGGAGAAGTTATGAAAAACAACCTCATGGAAATCAGAGCATCTAATATCTGAGAGATGGCTGCTACAAGGTAACCTCTGTAAGTCAAAAAGCTGCCAAGCTCTGAGATCTGATTACACTCACAGCGTTGATTTCCCCCCAACAAAGGTCATCGATCTCACACTTTTCCTGCAGCTGATGTAGTAGATGCTGGTTCTAGTGTCTTTCTTGGAATGGACCACTAAAGCAAAAACTATGTTCACTATGATGGATTACGTATGGATGTGCCATATCTGAGCAGGGTGATTCTTGTTTTGACAAAAACTGATTCTAAAGGTGAAACCAAATATGTTTTGGGGGGATGCTGGGCAGAAGTGTACAATGTATGGATCTAGCAGCACTGATGAATGTAGTCGTCGTACTACAAATAAATACATCACCCAACACGTGTCCACAGTTGCGAGGTCTTGGCAGCCGAGCTGGTGTGTGTGCATGTATCTGTTTGTGTTTGTGCGTCTCCGTGGGCACTGCTCATTCAGCCCACATGCTCAGCCGACACAGACCCCCCACCCCCCTCCCTCTAAACCAAACTTCACAGTTCTGCAAAGAAAGAACTGGCACCGCTCCCTTCATTCCACAACATGGAGTCATAATTCACAAAGCCGCACCCGTAGGCTCACGCACTCTCACACACACACGACACGACTCAACACTAAAGAGCTAAGGAGCAGAAAAATAAACAGTCACCATTCTGCGCAGTGTTTTTAGCGAACACGTCTCACTGCAGGATTTGTTTCATTGCCTTTATCTTTTTTCATTTTCTGTGCAATGAGCTCATCTCCTTCCCTCAGCCTCCTTCCCCACCCTTCACCTCACTAAACTCCTCTACTTTGAGGCAGATTTCCCAGCCGTCCTCCTGGGGATCTGTAGCTTACACTGGGCTCCTTCCAGCTGCGTGCTTTATTAGATACTTATCTCCAAATCAGAGGCTAAAAGTAGGAAGAAGCCGTTGAGATGACAGGAGTCAGAGCCTGTAAATAAGGAGGCAAACACTGAGGGAAGGTGGGAGTGCAGTCAGAGTGAGGGCATTATGAATACCTTTGTGATTTACTGTTCACCAGGGTTCACGAAAAGTGTTTGACTGCTATGTTTCTTCACGGCCACGCATGAAAAAAAAGTGCAGACAAATTTTAGTGTAAGCAGAGTGTGAGTAATACAGTGGAGTACTTTTCACTGCACCACGACGAGACATGAAACCAAACCACAGAACACTACGTCATGTTCTCTGACGATTAGCTGTGGTGTGTGTGTGGGGGGGTTGGGGGCGGGGTTCACTGATGATGTGTTGTTTTGTTTTTTTAAGTTATTTTTTGGGCCTTTTTGCCTTTATTTGGGACAGTGTAGAGAGACAGGAAAGCAGGGACTGGGCCGATGACATGCGCAAAGGATCGGCTCGGTCAGGAGTCGAACCAGCGACGCCGTGGGCATATGCCACCATGGGACATGCTCTATAACCACTCAACCACTGAGCACCACAATGATCATGAATTAAGCTCTGTCTGGATCTCTGGGCACTTTAATGTAATCCAATACAACAGCCCCGTCTCCTTTATAAAACTCATTCTGTTAATTTCTGTTGAAATTGTCCAGAATATGTGAATACACTGATACATTTATCATCGAGGTTATGAATGAAGTGCTGTTGTGCTGAACTGCATTATACTGAGAGGTGTTTCTCTTTTTTTCTATTAGAGACATAACCTGAATATCACATGCATCATACAAAGGAGAAGTCAGAACAAGTTATTAGGACTGATTTTCCAAGCACCACAAATATTTAATATACAGCCGTGCTGCTAGAAAGGCTAAAAACTAGTGATAAATCTGGTTGTGCTGTGCCCTGAAGGAGAGGCTCATGTCACAGGTATGCAGTCCCTGTTGGGAGGCTTAAGCTAAGCACTTAAAGCTGTTGAACGCTACTTAAAAGTTACACTTTGAAAGCAGTCTGTTATCTTAATGTAGCCAGGTGGAACTTGTTCTTCACTACAGTGCGTCTCAGGCGGCACAGTGCGCATGTCATAGACTTGAAGGCGTGAGTCGTAGTGAAAGGTCAATAACAAGACAGAGCATCCATCTCCTCTCCCTGCACTCAGATTACAGTCATTTGGCCATGACTAACATCCATATGTGTGTACTGACTGCAGTCACCAATAATCAGACGCCTGTCCTTGGAGAAGAGGGGCTGCTTCACTCACTTCTAGCCCACAGGCTGCTGCTCGTATTGTTTCCATCACAGAGTAACGCTAAGACCTGTGGGACACGGCGGAGGACCACCCAGCCGACCGCCGTCTGTGAAGTACGAGCACGAGGAGTTGACTCACCGCCACTGTTGCCGTGGTTACTCTAAACAACCTGCAATTCTCAGTTTTGCAAACAAATTTAATGAGATGACGCAAGCAGCACAGCGTCCTTTAAAATCCTCGCCACTCCGTCTGTTTGCCTGTTTTATTTCATGATTTGTATAAAGGAAACCTCACATCTCCCCGGTTTGTTTAGGCAAAATCTTCCTGTCACAAGTCTCTCTGTTATAAATAAGCTTTGAACTGGCAAAAGCTGGTGCACTTGCATGTTACTTACAAGGCTGCTTCATTGTCACAGTCATACTAACCACACCTCTTAGTTCATAAAGGGTGACACAAACACAGGCAGAGGAGAAGAATATCCAATCAGATCTTTTGTATGAAACAAACCATGGAGAACTTGACTTTAAAACCAGCAGCATTACCTACACCAACGCTCAACAAGGTGTATCTTAAGATTGAGCTGTGAGCCCTTAACTGATTCACAAACAAAAAAGTTGTGTGTCTCCATGTCTGTGCCTCTTTCTCACACACTAAATCCCCTGTGGTTTTCAAGCCCAGCCCCAGTCCTGCTGGAGCAGGCATGTGTTCCAACACGCTGTTTACTTATCCTGCACAAAAGACGTCAGGCCATCACATTGGACAGGAGGCACCGCTCTAATGCAGCAAACCTCAGCGCAGTGTGTCAATACCTGCAGCAGTGACTGGTTATCTGACATTGACTGCAGTGTGTACACATCAGCACAGAGTCAACTGGGGCTGATAATAGTTTACACTGTCATGAAATGGACTCAGCAACAACATGTATTGATTATCTACCTCCGACACCTACAGCAGATGTTGCGGAGCTCTGGGACATAAATTCCAATGTAAATCTGGGTCTACTTTCTATTTATGCAGGCAGGGTCAGCAGGGTTAAAGCAGCGCAATGCACTGACACCTGTCTTGCCTCGAGCACATACGCAGTAGCGTAGGTTACTGTACACAACCAGGATCTTAAATCCAGTAAAATACAGCACAGATCTCCATCTTACACTGGGCTCTGTTGTATCTTGACTGGTGTCTCAAAAGAAAGAAAGAAAGTCAGTTACTGAAAATGACTTTAAATCTAAACAAATGAAGTGTGCACACCCTAAACAGATGTGTGTGCTGAAGCAGAATTGCAAATAATTCTCAGTATTGTTATGAGCAGAACGCCTTTAAGGTGACTAGTGAAGGTTTTATGAAAGTCTCCATCTGTGATGAAACTTACAGTGAACTCACAGGGTGCTCACTTTTAATCTCACAGCCTTATCCACTCTGGCAAATATGAACGTTGTGAATTTCGTGGGCAGTGACACAGGAGGGAGGGGTGAGGTGTGTGTGGGGGGGGGGCTTCGGGAACAGGCAGTGAGTCACATAGGGAAGCTGACGGAGCAGACACCACTGCCTCACAGGGAGTGGCGCTGATACAGACAGCCACTGTTGTTTGAGTTTGATCTTAAGCAGAAGGCCATTCATATCTCTGTCCACCGGGTTTCCACATGGTGTGACTTGGCTGTCTGTGAGCTGAGGTTAAGGTCAGGCTGAGTGTGGTTTGTCTCTACATGGAGGAAATAACAGATTAGGAGAGTTAATAATTTCTGTTGTAGGGGGAAAGGGACGTTTCAGTGAGATCATAAGAACAGGTTTTTGGACAATAACAATTTTCAAACTTGAAGTTGAAATTTTAAAGTGACTGTAACTGAACTGTAAGTGTTCAGCAGCGTTCAAACTGGTGTTACTGTGCGGCACCTGTAGGCATCAGTCAGGGCGTTGGCTGTCTTCTCTGGGCATTTTCAAACAAAGGAGAGCGCTGCTGCTCAAGAGCCGACGGAGGCAACCTTGTCTGGGCTAGAACTCTGAACATGTGTGTGTGTGTGTGTGTGTGTGTGTGCAATCACTTGATGAAAAAAGATATATGTGATGGATGATGAGGCCGCTTTGAGATGAACTGGAAAAACTTAGTTCCACCAGTCGATGCGGTTTGAAACGGGTTTCTAGCAGAGCTCTGTGGGCTAAATGAAGGATTTCCCACCTTACATGAAGCAGCTTCCTCTGTCACAGCACACTGCTCTTTTAAATTGACACCGAGGATTACAAGACATGCAAACAATGGGACCAAACAGCTCATGAAAATTTCATTTGTAGAGTGGCAGTCCAATGAGGCCACAAGTTTCCTACAAATTTGGTTTCCTACCAACACATCAGCATAAACACACAGCGGTGAAGGACTTGGACGCAAAGACAATTCTGTACTGACATTATGTGGTGTCTTTGTTTGGTGCAGAAAGGATAAGGTTTCAGAAAAATACCATGTAGGTAATGGCTGTGATAAAAATACACACAACAAGGCTGTAAGACAATAATGGCACAAATAAACCAAAATGCTATGTGAGTGAACTCAGTGAGGTGGTAGATGCTAAACGTGTGTGTATGTGTGTGCGTGAGTGTGTGCACATGGTGGTACAGTGCAGAGATCTGTGTGGCCATGCAGCAGCTTGTCTGGTAAGAGCAGCAGCTACATTCCTGAGAGATTCATAATTACCGACTGAGGAACACTCTTCTTTCCAAATCTGCTTTCACCCTCCGACACATACCTCCTCCTCCCCCCTTCATCCGCCCGTCATTCCCTCCCTCACTAACCCCCACCCCCTGCCAGACATCCCTCATACAGTGGCCTGGGAGGCCGAGCCATGAAAGAAAAAAGGGATAATGGCTGGCGCATGAGAGTCATTTAGAGATAACATTATAATGTGTGGTTGTGTGCACTGGCTGTGATTATTGTTCAGTGACTGTGCTTTTCAGGGGGGAGTTACAAATATTTTACTTCTATGGCAACAGGACAGATTTTTCACTTAAAGGAGGTGTGGAAACATTCGTCCAAAACATCACTTTCCAACTACAGATGATAGATTATTGGATATAATCAGTCAAGAATATGAAAATGGAAACACCTTTTAGTCCATGTTGATACAATTACAAAATGTTGCATTAAAATGTGGTGTGTGTGTATGTGTGTTACATGCCTTATGCCTCAAACCTGAGATTGTCTGTGATTTAGCAATTTCATAATTGATTGATTTGAAGATTATTCTCATGACGATGAATCATTGTCGATAACTGTGGTTATAATTCCCAGAATGCAACAGGGCGCCTCCAAGTCTCATACTCTGTGACCATCAGTTAAAAAAACTCCAAAGTATTCAGTTTAGAATCAAACTGGAAAAAGAAAATATGCAAAAAACACAGACAAAAGAATTTTTTCTGTCAAACAACTCATCAATCAACATATTGATCACCTTGGCTCTAATATTACAAGCAGCTGATGCAGTGTAATTGGAACTGTACTTCAGTGTATGGCATGTGGTATTCACAAGTTTTGGACCAACTTGCGTTTGAATCCAAAGAGTCTTTGTTTTCACTGTTTACCTTTTGTGTCTTGGCAAAAATTGCATAGTACGTTTTGGAAATGTAAAGGTTGTCTGTTGGTATTCAGAGACTGCAGCCTGCACAGACAGCGGCAGACCTCTGCTCAGAGTCTTGTTAGCTTTACTTCCAGAGGTTGCCAGGGCTCCGAGTCCGGACTGCAGCCTCTATGGCGCTTAAGACCCTTGAACCTAAAGGTCAGACGGGGGGTAAAAAACAAAGTGGTTGTGCAGCAGCAGTGACCAGCTCATGGTGAAGCCAAACACAGCTGGACACTGGGGTTTAAAAATACATCCTGGGATTTCAGTGTCTCTGCTCTGCCCCAGTCAAAACAAAAAGTCTGGAGCTGCTTTCAGTCACTTTCAGTCTCAGCTCACTCACTCCAACGCTCTTCACAGTGGACGGCAGTCAGAGAAAACTGTAGTGTGGGAATAAAATGTATCAGCACCCCCCCACACACTGCCCCAACACCAACTGATTCAATTTTGCAGGTGCTGATGAGGACCCACTGATGAGTTACTCATCAGCTAATCCCACTGATTAACAGTAACACAGTGTCCCACTCATCAGCCAGGAGTTTTCCTCTAGCTGCAGGCCTGTATGACACACACACACACACACACGTCACTTGGTCCCTATACCTTTTATCCATTACAACACCGATTGTTCCTCCTGTTGCCCTCTCTTAACCTACAGCGCTCCCCTTTCCTCCACTGAGCTGGCAC